CAGTGCCCTCAACTGGCCAGACTTTGGAAGTGGCATCATTGTCCGTTCCCGTCTTTCTTACACGCCCCGGAGTGTCCAGAGTCCTTTTCCCAGGCAGTTGATGGGAAGGTCACAGGCTGAGATGTGACCCCTTATACAGCCTGTCTGGCCCTGTGTCCCTGCGCACCAGCCTTTCCCAGCCCCCGGTGTGCCCCAGCGCCCATGCCCGACCTGGGGCCTGGCCTGCCCCCTCCCCAGCGCCACATTGAGGGGGACCACCCCCGGCCGGCCCATCAGGTGAGGGGCCTGTCACAGGGCGAGTTGGCCCACAAGTGGTTTGGTCCCTTGGGGTCTTATTTTTTGCTGTTATTTCCTCTGCCTAAAAATAGCATTTTCTATCTATAGTTGCCTAGTTTGGAACAAAACTATTTGTTGCTCAGAAGTTAGGGCAGCAGACTTCCTGACCGCCTGCCGCCCGTGTGCGGTGAACCCCCGGTTCCACTAGCCTCCTGAAAAGCAGGGACCCTGATTAGCAAGAAGAGGTTTAACTGAATTTTAAGAGAAAAGGAGAGAATAGATACAAAAGTAGCCAGAAAAAGCAGTCTCTCAAAATGAAGCAGCCCGGCTTGTCAGAGGAACAGTGGCCCCTTTTGTGTGGTGCCGCCCCGGCCTGGGGACTACCCGGAGTTCCCTTTCTTGAACTGTCCCATTGGAAGGGCATTTCCTACTAAAGAAAGAGCTCTTTTGTCCTCTCCTGGGCCTTGGCCTTTCGGCCCCTCACATGGCAGGGTGTGTGTTCCCAGAGAAGGCTTGCTCTGCTCTGCTGAGGCCCTGTGGCTTTGTGCTCGGGATGTGGGGTCAGGCTGGCCTGGGAGCCCTTGCTGAGTGATGGGGACTGTCTCCAAGCCTCTTGCGTATCAAGATGATATTCGTGACTCAAATTTTGGAGCCCTTCTGGTAGTGACGACGTGAAGCAAGCGAGTGAGCAGTGCCCAGCACACACTCCGGTGAATTACAGCCACATGTTTGTAGGCTCGCTGTTTGTAGCTCTTCTAGAGCAACTTTGCCCCAGCCCACAAGGAAGGCCCAGGGACACCCTGTTCCCGAGGAGAGAGGACCCAGGGGCCTCCTAAGATCCATAGACCTCTGCTTGGTTCGGACATGGTGCCACGTGCCGGTTTCGGGAGTTACCTGCTCTCTGAGAAGAGACAGTGGTGGTGGGTCTGGGGCCGTGCTTGTCACTTCTTGGAGCTGGTCCTCCCATGGTGCTGACTGCAGGTCCGTGGTGTTGAGGGACCCAGCCTCTGATCCAGCTCAACCTGCAAAAAAATCTGCTAACTTCGATACTTAGCTGAAGCCTGTCTTTTTTCTCAATGGGTTTGCAATTCTGAAGGGAGGAGTGATGTTATTAATTAATTCTCTTAAGTCGTCAACATGGCGGGACTAAGGCTGGAAATAACTGCCTCAGAAGTGCGTGGTTCAGCCTTTTATCTTAGGCACTTTATCATGACCATGGCCTTACAGGATATTGGGGCCCAAGGGATCCTCTGTCCTTTGGCCCAGGGTGTTTATACAGATCTGCAGACTGGAGCTTCTAGGCTTCAGGAGCAGGGCAGGGCGTTGGGGCATGGCCGTGCAAATAGCTCCTTGGAGGACTGGAAGTCGGGAAGCACCAGTCCCGTGTACCCGTGACACTTGATGGGCCCGTCGGGGAGCTTGGTAGCAAGCAAGCGACCCAGTTCTGACCGAGTTTAAAAGAACCATGTTGGAAGGGCGTTGGGGACAGGGACACACAGGACTGGTTGACAGCCAGGGGCCAGACTGGGGAATGGGCAGGACCCAGAGGGCACCAGGACACAGGATGACCTTCTGGCCAAAGCCATCTTCCCACCTTCCCACCTCCTGGTGGCTGAGCTGGAACCACCTCGAACTCTCCTTTTGTCCCTTCCTAGATTGAGAGTGTCCATCTGATAGGCTGAGCACAGGGTCTGGGGCCACTCCTCCTAATCTCAGTTCTGGTCCTGTCAGCTTCCTGCCTTCCGGTTCTCTGGAAAAGGGTACCTGGAATTGTTCTCCCCAGATCACACTTTTAGGGGAAAGACAATAAAAAAAAAAAGAAAGAAAAAGCTAAGATCTGGTTAGAGATGGAAATGGCTATCGGCAGTCAAAGGTTACCAGATGACCCCAGGAGTGGGGCGGCCAGATCTAGTAACTGGGGCAGCCGGGTGATCGGGGAAGGCAGTGCTTGGGAGCTGCAGGAGGCCAGCACAGGCACCTCCCCTCGGCTGGTCTGGTCGGAGAGGCGTGCCCAGGAGGGGACGTGTCCAGGACGCGGGGGGAGTGGGAGGCTGGGGGGTTGGAGCGAAGGGTGGCCCTAGAAAGAGAGTCAGAGGGATGTGTTCTAGACTCGTGAAGTTGGAAGTGAGGCAGTGGGTGGCCTTCGGGGATGAGAGAAAGGGCGACTCACCTGAGGACCCCCAGAGAGGCGGGGTGGGACTGGGCTGGCCCCATGGCAGCATGCTGTTGCCCCCAAAACTCAAGTCGGGTGGGGGGTGTGCCTGAACACCAGAGAAGTGTGTTCTCTCCATGGAGAAGGAGATAGTATGGCACAGGGCATGAGAAGCACAGTGTCAGCAGTGGGCAGGGATGCGGACATGCCCTTGACATAGGAAGCCGTGTGGTCAGAGACCGAGGAGGCAAGGGAACGTGAGCACTTGAGCAGGTGGCAGGTTCCTGCAGCAATGGCAGTAGGAAGTGGGTTTTTTCATTTTTGTTTTGGTCTTTTGGGGTTTTTTTGTTGTTGATGTTCAGTGAAAACATGCATGTTTCTGAAAAATGAGAGTGGACAGCACTCCGGAGGGGTAGGAGAGGGGAAAGCGCAGAGTGGCTATTAGCTCATCTCCATGCAGACGAGGTATCTGGAAAGTCCGCCCTATTGCAGTGTTTGTGATCAGCCCACAGGGTACATTTTTCTGAACCATACCCAAGAGTGGCCTTTTCGGTGGAAAATGTGCATTATCACTTTCAGGGGGAGGTGGGACTTGCCATTGTGTCATATTGGGTGGACGGAGAGGCTCCTGCCCACGAAGGGCCCTGTCACCCCTCCCCCCCCCCCCCCCCCAGGCAGTGAGAGGCGGCCCCTGAAGTCCCGACTGCCATGCAGCCGGCTTCCCAGGGTCGGGTGTGCTGTGGCAGAAAGGGCTGCCCGCCCACCAAGAAGCTTCCTGGCCACGCTGCCCAAGCCCAGGCCCCCACGCGGTGCACACCGTCCATGTGGAAGAGGAAGGAGGGCAGAGGCCGCAGAGAACATTTCCTGGAAAAAAGTGCTATTTGAGTTGCCTTCCGTAGGCAGAAGTGGGGGTGAGGAGGAGGGAGGCGTTTCGGAAAGGGACAGGAAGTACCACTTGCGTCCGCCTCTGCTGGCGCAGCTGGGGCCGTATTCCATCGTCCTACTGTCTTCGTGGTTTGTCCCACGTCCATGCACCACCTATTTATTACTACTGACTTCTTATTTAAAGGGTTTTTTTTTTTTTTCACTTAAATAAGTTTACTTAAAGAGGAAGATTTGATCCCTGCTGTGATTTGCATGTTAGTATGATTGTCCTGGTCTTTGTCATTAGCTTTTCTGGGCCCCCTCTGCCCGGGTCAGAACTGTCCCTTGCATGGCCCACATGGCTGGGACCTTCACTGCCACCAGCATGACCGGTCATTTTTTATAACCTTCAACAATCCTTAGGTACACAAGGAGCTTAGAAATATCTCTCTCTGTAGGAAGTCAAACACAGATAAGTGCCCTGGGCTTGACCCCCTCATCTGCGTCTCCCTCCTAGCAATGGCCTCGGCCATCAGCTTCATGGGTATCCTTCCAGGCCTTTTTCCTGCGGTATTTCATTAGTTTTATCGTTGTTTTAACATAAGTGGTATCACATTGTTTATATGCTGGCTTTTTCTCCTCATAAATCTGTTGAAATTATTTTAATAAGTTAAAACAGTAATAAATACTTTTTCTTTAAAAAAGTATCACAGTACACAAAAGGGTAATTCCAAGACACAGAGCTGACCATGTCCTTTCTCTGCTTCCGAGTCTGAAAGGCTCCCCGTTGCCACCCTCCGCTGGGCGGCAGGCCCTGCACATGGGACTCCTGCCTCCTGCTGCAGCCTCCCTGGCCCCTGGACCTCTTCTGTCCCTGGCTTCCCTGCAGCACGGGGCTGGTGATCCCTCCCCGGGTTCTGTACATACCCCTCATCTATGGACTGGCGGCCCGAGGACAGTGGAGGGGGCTTTCTTGTGCAGCCCCGGGCAGCGTGGAGGCGGGACAGCATACGAGTCGGAGCCCGGGCCGTGGCTGTGCTGCTGGGCTCCCCGCTGCTGAGCCCGGGGGTGCAGTGTGGGCGCGTCAGCCCCCGTGCTCCTGGGCCTGGCTGCTGAGCTGGAGGAGGACGCCGGTACCTGCCTCGGAAGGCTGCTGGCACGATGGCCTAATGACTGGAAAGTGCTCGGTGCAGGGCCTCTCCCGGGGCGGGCGGGCGGACGGACGGCAGCGTTGCGCTGTGAGTTGGTGCTCTTACCCTGGGCTGGTCGTTGTTAGTCTTCACCGCTGCCCCCTCGCCCCTGGGGCCCAGCACATGGGCTGGCACGGGAGTATTCAGTATGTGCCTGGATGCGGATAAAGGGAAGAGGGTATAGAGACAGAGCCAGCACGGGTGAGGCTGCACAGGGACAGGCTCCTTGTGGGGAAGTGTGCGGAGAGGGGCATAGTGGGTGGCGGGGGGCGGCCAGCAGGTGGGGGCTTCCAGCAAGGACAGGAAGAGCTGGGCAGGGTCAGACACCATTTCGCCCGCCTTCCTGCTCACAGCACCTTCCCTGTCTGCATACTCGAGGAAGGAAGAAGCCACACGATTGGCACTGACCCAAGAGGGCTGGGCCTTCACCTACTCCTGGCCTTGCTGTCACGGGCTCAGGTGGATGTAATGACTTCTTGATGCCTTCCCCGCTCCCGCCCCGGCCCGTTTCTCTCCAGGCACTGCCACCGTGGAGGAGCTGGAGGACTTTATCAACAACATTAACAGTGTCTTGGGGTCCTTGTATATTGAGATAAAGAAAGGAGCCACCGAAGACGACGGGAGACCCGTTTACGCGCTGGTGAGTGCACGCCGGCGCCCTCTCGCGGCGTCTGTGCGGAACTGCGGTGGGTGGAGGCGCCCCCGCCCCAGCAGCCCTGCCGTGGAGACACAGACCCAGCCCAGCGTGGCCGCCCTGCCCGCCCGGGGCCACCGGCGCCACTGTCAGTGTCCTGTGCCATAATCAGGGCCGGGGCTGTCACCCCGATGCTCACTTCACTGCCCCAACCGAGCCCCTGCCTGAGACAGGTTGTGTTTGTTGACAGTTCAACGCAAGAAGTCCCCTCAAATGTGTGCAATACTAGGATTAAAGGGAGGAAAGTGGTTTTTCATTTAGAATAAGGCATGGACGCTGAGAGAAGAAAGAATGTGTGGCGCGCTGGGACTGAGAGCCATCTGGGCCTCCTGTGTCCCTCCTGGCCAGCGAGCGAGGGGAGAAACAGGCGGGCAGAGCAGACAAGGCCCCCGCCTGGGCCAGGGCACCACCGTAGGCCCATCCAAGGAGGCCGGGCTCCCACCAGCCAGGCCCACCCAGCGAGGGGCGCTGGCCAGGGACTCCCACACTCTTCCAGGGCAAAAGGGCTGTGGCATCAAATAACTGTGGAAATGCTGGGTTAAATCGGTAAATCGGGTTTGTTTACTGCTGGACTTCTCAGTGCCTTTTGCTTGTGAAGCTCCATTAGGCATGCAGACAAGTTCCCCAAATGTATCTGGGTTTGGAAGATACTCCACCACCTTTGGAGTTCTAAGAATCTCTGAGAATCAGACATGCTGACTGAGCTAGAGATTGAAGTCTGTAACGTAGGACTGGTCACAGATCCAGCCCTGTGGCTGGCAGCGCCTGGACACCGGCGCTCAGTGACCAGGGAGGGGCCCAGCCTGACTGCCACACTGACCTCTTTTGTAGGTGAATCTGGCGACCACTTCTGTTTCCAAAATGGCCTCAGATTTTGCAGAGAATGAGCTGGATCTGTTCAGAAAGGCTGTAAGTACAGTAGCTCCTGTTTATCGGCCGGGCTTCTTATGGGAAACCTGCTGTCTTCCATCATTAGAAGTGGAAACCGTGATCTTGGAGGGTCACCATTGCTGCCCCAGGTGGCCACGTGCAGGGGGGCCGCTGGGCAGCTCACCACCGCCAGGTGATGACGGGAGGGCGCCATGGCTGCTCGGGAAGGAAGAGCTTCTCTAGGTTTGCACCAGGCCTCTGGGTGTGCGATGCAGGTGAACAGGTGTTATTGTCTGGTGCTCATAGCACGATCCACACCCACAGCATCGGCACCAGGGAGCTTGCTAGAAAGGCCGAATCCCAGTCCCCAGTCCACCCGCCCCCCCGCCCCGCCGAGACCGTTGAATCCAGGTCTGCGTTTTAACGAGGTGTCCCGATGGCACATTTCACGTTTGAGAGGTGCTGCTCTGCCTCCCCAGCATCAGAGCTGTTGGCTCAGCCCTCCTGTCACTCACCTGGCTGAGCACCTGGTCCCGACAGTGGTTCTCAGCCCTGGGTGCACCTTTTAATAACCGGGAGGTAAAAACAGTTGAGATAGTCTGGCCTCACCCAGATCTGGTGAATCCAAGTCTCTGGTGACTAGTCCTAGAATCATTCCTCTCTGAGCCTCCTCTGGTAACAGTTGGCCCCCAAGCGTGCTGCTTCCTGGCCCACCCTGGCTTTGCTGTCCTGTCCTTTCTGCCTCCAGCTTGCCCCTCACCCCCGACGTCCTGCCCACATGTGAGTAGGAGGGTGCTACCTCTGTTCATTCATTCCTCAGCTTCTCTACCTTCAGGGAGGTGGGGGGCGAGAGAGAGGATTCTTGATTTGGGGGCATTAAGGTTATTCATTTGGCAGGTCACAGGGTGAGTGCTGAGTCAGAAGGGCTGGCCGTGGTTATGGCTTTTGGTGCTGGTTATGAACCGGCTTCCCGAAGGAGCGTCCCCAGGCCCAGTTCTCTGCGGTTGGGAGTGGTTTTGCTGCCCCCCCCCCCACCCCGCCAGGATTGGTGTTCTTGCTCAAATGTTGTTTTTGCTGATTTGATAGATGAACGTGGTACCTGCTGTTTCTTCCAGTTGGAACTGATTATTGACTCAGAAACTGGCTTTGCATCTTCCACAAATATTTTGAACCTGGTTGATCAACTTAAAGGCAAGAAGATGAGGAAGAAGGAAGCAGAGCAGGTGTTGCAGAAGTTTGTACAGAACAAATGGCTGATCGAGGTAGCGTGTCCAGTGCTTTCCCTGGCTCGGCTCACTGTTTAGAACAGATAACAAATTTTCCTCCAAAACCATATCGTATCCAGTTGTTGTCCATTGAGCTGGGGTCGGGCCCCTTGTCTGCTTTAACGCGCACCATGTCCCTGAGAAGGCCTTGCAGCCTCCTGCTCGCTCCCGTGGGGTGCCCCGGGAGCAGGGACTGCACCCAGGTTTGGGGCCCTGGTCCACAGACGCAGGGCGGTGGGCGCGGCTCTGGCGTCGGACCTGGGCCTGGTTCCTGGGCAGGAGGGCTGGAGCCCCTCTTCTGTGAGTGGGGAGGAGCCGTGTCCCCTCCCAGGCGGGAAAGGGGTGGGAATGGAATGGCCGATGCCCAGTGCCCGGTGCCGGGCTCCCGGAGGAATTGCCGTCCTTGTGGTTGCTATCGTCAGTGTCACGTTATTCAGGATAGACGCTGGCCCTGGGGAGCTAAGAGGACGTGCAGGCAGGTGCTGGAGAGGAGTTGGGGACATCCGGGAAGGGACCGGATGGAGCTGAGTTCCTGTTTCTAGACCCTGTGGCTGCTTCTGCTGACTGGAGCGGAGCAGATGTGTCCGGGCTTTTCCCACAAAGGGCAGCACTGCTGCTAGGAACCCCGAGGCAGACCGGCCCCACGCTGGCCCCTGACCTCAGCTGTGTCCCTGAGCGCCTGTGTCTGCGCCTGCGTACTTGGGGCAGCCCTCCACCTCCTCCCCCGCTGGTTGGAGCCGCAGCTGCAGGCTGTGCGGCTGCTGCTCATGGGGAGGCGCTGATGCACCTCCCTTCCAGGGAGAGCCTTCTCAGGTCACCAGAGCTGCGGCGCTGAGTCCTCGCTCCTGCAGTGCCTGAGGCGCTTCCCTGGCTGGATGGGCCACAGGGCCGAGGGCAGGGGTGCCGGGACCCCCCCCCCCCCGGCACAATTGTGCCCACTGTGGCCTCGGGTCCTCCTGTGGCCCCGTGACAGCGGAGGGCCCCTCGACTCTGGTGTTGAGCTGATCGTGCCGCGACCCCATGGCGTGGGTGACATCTCCCCTGTCCGGCCCGGGCTCGGGAGACTGCAGCTCCCAACAATTGCTGTGTCTGGGCTCTCTTCCTCTCCCAGGCGGGCTCGGCAGGAGGGAACATTCTCCGGCAGCTCGGGTTATAACTGGCTGAGCTCTGCAAGCCTTTGTAAGGGCAGGGCCACGACACCTCCTTGCACCTTACAGCCCTGCAGATGCTCCGTCAGTGCTGCTGGGGGCATGGTGGGCTGGGAGGGGACGTTCCAGAAACTTCCCTCCAAATATACAAGAAGTACTTGCTCCTCATGGGAAGGTGAGAAAATAACCGATCTTCATGAAGAAACACACTACGGTCACCTGCTGGTCTGCCCCGCAGAGCCACCCACTCCGGGAGCCCCAAGCACCCTGCTGTGGCCCCATGAGTTACCATGTACGTCCAGGGCACAGACGTGATTGTGTCCCAGTGGCAGGGGCCGGAGGGCGGGTGGCTGGGGTCTGGGGGAGGCCCCCAGGTGGGCACGGGTCCTCAGAGCGTGGGCCTCTGCTGATGGCCGCAGCTCCACACCTGAGGGGCCACTGTGCTGCGGGGGCCTGAGCTCTAAGGATAGTTGCGAGGCCTGGGAGATTGTGGGAGGTTGGGTCTTCTTTGGGGGTTAGGGCACCTCGCCTGCCCTCCCTGTGATGGGGCCCCCAAAGGACCGAGTGGGGTCGTGAACGATAAGCACCAGGCACGGTTCCAGGCACACAGTAGATGTTTAGTAAATGTGGCTCGGGCCCAACTGTGAACTTGAACTTGTTCACTGGGGCCTCGGGCATTCCTCAGTGGTCTCAAGGCAGGGTCGACTTCACCTTCCCTGGGAGGTTTACCATGGGACTGCCAAGCACTGAGCCCCACACTAGGCCCAGGGACTCAAGGGCAGACCTGGGCCCACGGTGTGGGTCAGAGCCAGAGATTGAGCAGGCAGCCGCGGAAGTTGAGTTACAGATCGAGGGAAACACGTCCCAGGACAGCTCTTCCCCAACCGAGGCAATGACCCTGGAGCTGAAGGCAGCGTGGGGGCCGGCTAGAGTGCTGGCTGGGGGAGGAGAGGAAGGGGTGAGTGCTGGGGCAGGGGCTGTGTCCAGTTCGCCCCGCAGGGAGACTGCCTCCCTCTCCTGGCTCCATGTACTCCCTGTAGGAGGGCTGTTGGCACCCCCGTTCACGCTTGTGCGGCACAAGCGAGGTGCCGAGGCAGGGGCGCGGGGAGTCGCACGTCGGCTCCCTTTTCCGTCTCGGCCTAGGTTTTCCCGGCTTGTGGCTCTGCCAAGGGGCCGGTGTGGCCACCTGTCAGCTGGGGCTGGTGGAAACGGGCCACGTGAGGGGCGCCCAGCCCTGCGCAGCTTCCTGGGCTGGGGGCCGTGGGCCTGCCGGGTGGGCAAGGGGCTGGCGTGAGGGGGGCTGAGACCTTGCCGCCTCCCGTCCTGTCCTGCAGAAGGAAGGGGAGTTCACCCTGCACAGCCGGGCCATCCTGGAGATGGAGCAGTACATCCGGGAGATGTACCCCGACGCCGTGAAAATCTGCAACATCTGCCACAGCCTCCTCATCCAGGTACTGCGCCAGCAGCGGGATGAGCCGGTGCCCCTGGGGCCCTGCGGGCTCTGAGCCCCCGCCTTGGGCACCAGCGGACGGAGGCCATCCCCTGGGAAGTGTCTGAGGACGGCCACGCGCATGCCCGCCTTTTCTCCTCCCTGGTCCCTCGGCTCTAGGCCAGGGACTCTCAGAGGCCTGTGTGTAGCCCGTGTCATCCTGGTGCTGGCGGTGGCGGCCGCGGCTGTTCTGTCCCGCGCGGCCTGCTTGCCGGGGCTTCCCTGAGGGTGGGCCAGCGCTGGGCGCTTGGGGGGTTCCTCCTCTGACGCTTACCTTCCCACCATCGTCAGCTGCGCCCCGACTAGTCGCTTTGCACAGGTACCTTGCGCACCTGGGGTTGTCTCCTTGGGCCGGCTTCCCGGAAGTGCAGTTTCTGGCACAGCGTTCACGTTTTCTTAAAGCCTTTGATCCATGTTGCCAAATAGCCTTCTGAAAGGCTGTAGTCGTGCGCACGGGCCCTGCACACTCTGAGTGCCCGTGTGCACCGGGAGGCCGGGTTTCCGAGGCCGCCTGGCTGTGCTGCGGGGCCTGGCCCGCCACCACCGCACTCTGGCCGGTAGAGTTTTGGTTTAAGATTTTTATTTGAGAGAGAAAGAGTGTGGGGAGGGAGAGTGGGTAGGGGCAGAGGGAGAGGGAGAAGCAGGCTTTCCACTGAGCAGGGACCCGACCTGGGACTCGATCCCAGGACCCCGAGATCATGATCTGAGCTGAAGGCAGCCGCTTAACCGATGGAGCCACCCCAGCGTCCCACTGTTAGAGTTTTGAGTGTCCTCCACCTACGTTCATTTCTCAGAATTTTTTAATAACAGTTCCTACAAGCCCTTGTGCTGAGGGCTTTGGGATTATCCTTATTCATCTGGGGCCTGGAAGACAAGACCATGGAGCCTGTTGGACGTTTTCCTGGCCATTTACGGAAGGTTTGTGAACATGGAGGTGTGTGCGAGGCTCCACGGCTATTGCCTTTCTGGTTTCAGGGTCAAAGCTGCGAGACGTGTGGCATCAGGATGCACTTACCTTGCACGGCAAAGTATTTTCAGTCCAGTCCCGAGCCTCGCTGTCCCCACTGTAATGACTACTGGCCCCACGAGATACCAGGTTCGCATCACCGCGGTGCTCGGGGGCTGTCCCCCGGCCTCTGGGAGGGGCTGGGTGGCAGGACTGAGGGGACACCTGGGGACAGGGAGCACTCAGGCGAGGGCTCCACGTGTGCAGGTCTGTGTGAGCAGGACCCGAACCCATGCGCTGAAGCAGCTCCTGCAGTACGTGGAGGCCTTACTGCTCGCACACTGCCAAGGGCTCTTAGAACCCAGGAGAACCCTTAGGTCACGTGTCTAGACCAGACAGGTCTAGACAAGGCCACCCCGGCCTCCCAGCAGCTGTCTGGGGACGGGAGGTGATCCCCCTTCCTGGCTGCGGTGGGGTGGGGGAGTGGGGCGAGGACAGAGCCCTTGGCAGGCGACCCGTAGCCGCGGCCTTGAGCTGCTGTCATGTGCGTGCCCGGTGCTGCCGCTCACGGTACCTTCTGGCCTTTTCATGTGCAGAGGTCTTCGATCCCGAGAAGGAGCGGGAGGCTGGTACCTCCAGGGCCAACAAGAGATCTCTGCGGTCCAGGCAGCACTAGCTGGTGCGCTGGTATGGGGCTCGCTGCCTTCGGGGACAGCCGGCGGGCCCTGTTTGGGAGGCAGTGCTTCACGTTGTACCTGAACCCCCGTCTGCTTTGTGGTCGCTCATGAGGTTTGGAATAAACATTACTAAGGAGTCCTCGCTGCAGCCTCGGTCTGTGGTTGTACGCCCCCTAGGAGGCTTCCCGGGGTGGCTCCCAGATAATGGAGAACCCCTTGGCTTGGGTCCCCACTGGGGAAGCTGCCAGAGCTCCTCCTGCATGACACCCCCAGCGGCTCAGCCTCAGCCCCCGGCTTGGGTCACTTGTGCCATCAACACTGGCCGGCCCAGCCCTCCCCAGCCCCCACCACAGCCCGGACCCCTCTCTGGCCCAAGGTGCAGTTTGCCTGACGGGCTGGAGGCTGCTCTCCTCACTGGGTACCTCCGCCCCTGCCTGGTGAAGAGCAGCGCCACCATCAGCCGTCCTGTCGGCCTAGATGCCCCCTCCTCCCTGGCTCACCGGCCACTGAACCCTGTCCAGGCCCCCTGCCCCCTCTGCCAGCGCCGCTCCTGGCCGCAGCCAGCCCGCCTGCTCCAGGCTCTTCCACCGCGGCCATCCGCGCGGCACGCCCACCTGAGACCTGACGGCCCCACTGTCCCGGGGCCCGGGTGCACACTGAGGATTCACGGGCCGGCGCTCCATCTCACCACCTCTCCAGGCCCGCTTTGCCCCACATGGCCTTTCCTTCCCTCCTGAAAGCGCCCTCTGTTCCTGGCCCGAGCCCCTGCACACATTGTGCCCTCGGCCTGCGCAATTTCCCTCGTTTGCCGCCACTGGCCTGCTCCCCGGCTGCTCTTCGGATTTTGTCACGGCTTCCAGCCCTCGGTCCCTGTTTTCCCGCACATCCCTGCTCATCACACCTGCCACACTTCTGACTCCCGTCTCCTTGTCTCTTCCACCCCGATATCAGTCAGCCCAGCCCAGTGTGGCTAAACAAGGAAGGACTTGGCCAGACGGGGTCCTTCAGGAGAGGCTTGACCTGGTGGGTCCTGTGATGTCACCAAGAATCCACATCGCTGCCTCTGCTAATTTTCATTGAGCTGGCCTTGTGCTTACAGTCTCCCAGAAAATCTAGCCACTTTCTTCCTGCTAGCCATCCTTCCAGGCCTCACACGCCACTGCGCCCGTGTTGGGAGGAAGAGGGCGCGTCTCATTAACTGGCTTGCCTGCCCCAGCAAACACCCTCGTGGTCCCAGCTCCACTCCGGATACTTACAGAGGTGGGGACGGGATAGGGCAGTCCAGTTGGCACTGGCAAATCGGGGCTTGCCTCTGAGCCACAGAGTTCTCTCCCAAAGATAACGGGATGCTCTTATCAGGCAAACGGAGAATGAACTTGGCACCAAATGGGCAGGTGGCCTCCACCCGTCATCTGTTCCACAAGCCCAGTGCACAGGGGGCATCTAGCATCTATGACGTGGTGGACAAATGGCGCCGGCTGGTGAGAGGCTCTCCCTCCCAGCCTCAGGTGGGTCTCCTCATCGCCCAGCTTCCAGGCAGTGAGGATGCTCCCAATGGAGCCTCTGGGAGCCAGGCTGGGATCCCGGCACAGCCCTCTGGAGGCAAACAGCAGCCCCCCAATAGAGCCCCATGGGTACCCCCTGACCGTGTAGGGAGGTCTGGTGTCAAGCAGGCAACGGAAAGCATCCCCACTGGCTTAAGCAGAGAAGGACTTTCTTGGAAGGGTACAAGGAAATCTGCAGAGATGACAGGAAGGCAGGAAAAACAGTGGAGAAAGGATGGACCCTGGAGCTTGGGGGGGCCTGGGGGCTTCCCACAGCCCGAGGAGGGGCAGTGTCGTACCACACAGGTCCAGGCGAGTCCTAGCTGTGACTCCAGATGCTCTGAGCCCCTGGCCCCTCGGGACACAGGCCCCCCGGCTCTCAGTCTCCCGGCGTTGATCCCAACATGAACTTCCCAAGGACTCCTTGACAGCACCCGACAAAACCTCATACACAATTCTGAAGACCACGTCTGGCGCTCGAGGCTTTGGGGATCGGGCCGTTGCCCGCCTCTCTGCCCAGCCCGTCTCCCCCCTCTCTGCTCCCTGCCGACACTCCTGACTTGGTCACTCCGGGAGCTACCGATGGGACAGGTGACAGCTGTTCTGCTTTCCAGGCTCGCCCTGCCGGCCCGCCAGCCCTTCTCACAGCAGCTCGCAGACCCGGCTCTCCCTGCAGGTGCAGCCCCCCACCCCGTCCCCCCCGCCCCCCCCGTGATCCGGCTGCACGGGCTCCCTCCCTCTCCCCCAGCACCTGAGCCTTCCTGCCCCAGGGCTGCTGCACCTGCTGCTGGGAGCGCCTCCTCAAACCTCGTGGCCAGTTGCGGCCTCCTGGTCATTCTGGCTACTCAGATGTCGTCTGTGCTAAGTCCTGTCCCCGGTCCCCCCCGTCGCAGTCCCTTCACAGGCCTCGCCACGATCCACACCTTACTGCACTGTCCCTCCGTCCGGACGCCAGGACAGGGCTGCATCTGGCTCGAGGCCTCGCGTGCCTGCGTTGGACCAGCCCCGGGCCGGCCTCTGCAGCTCGGGCGGGTGGGGGTCGGCGGCCCTGGGCTCGCCCCTCATCGGCTCAGCGGGCAGCCGGTGGGCGCTCGTCTTCCAGGAGGACCCGAGTCCGCGCTGCTCAGAGCCGAGGCCAGCCCTCCGGCCCCACTGTTGCCGGTGGCCTTGGAGCCCGGCCCAGAGGGCACATAAAGATTTCGGCTTCTGCCCCGTCTTGCCACCTGACAAGGGACAGTTGCTGCAGGCGGCCAGGCCCCCGCGTCCCGTTTTAATGCCCGTGTCCTCTCGGCCGCTCGGAGCAGGAGTGGGGCCGCCAGCCGGGAGAGACGGATCGTAGACGCTACAGCCGCCCTCGGGTGGGGGGCCTGTGGGTGATGCAGGCGGGCCCCCGAGTTATGGCCCACTCGTCCCTGACAGCCAGCGTGCCGGACGCAGTGGCCTTCCTACCGCCCTGCTACCTTCAGCGGCGCGGATATTTGGGTAAGTTCTTCACCTGACGGATTAGGCAAAGAACTATTAATAGCGCCAGATGGGGGACAAGCAGTCTCCGCAGAGAGCCCTCGTTTCACTCCCAAGTAGCTGGCCTTTGCCTCTGCCCTGCGTGCCCCTGCCACGCCCCCACCTCCCTCCACCTCAGCCCCGCTGCCTCCCTGCCCCGCCCCTCCAACAGCCCGCTGGCTCCACGCATATCCTGATGGTCTCCCTGCCCCAAACTTGAGGGCCCAAGTCCTGCGTGATCAAGCTCAAAGGCCCTGGCCCGCTTGCAGAGGATGCAAGCGGCTACGGTTCCAGCCGCCCACCGACGCTTCCCCACCCCTGCTCTCGCTTACCCAAGGGTCCGCGTGTTAGCCAGGCCCCGGCTGCTGGAGCTGCACCTCGTTGGCTCCCGGGCCGCCAGAGTCTTCCCTGGGGCCTCGGAGCCTGCGGGCCCTGGCTCTGCGGGGACATGGAGCTGACCTGCAGGGCCACCTGCTCCCCTGGGCGGAAGGCTCTCTCTGCAAGGGGGGAATGAATGACACCGGGGCAGGAGGGGGCTTCTGGGCACCGCTGAGGGTGGTTTCATGGTGCGGGGACTGGATGCTGGCGGGGGGCACGGTTGAATATGCAGGCTAGGAGATGGCCATGGCTGCACTGTGCGTGCACAATGACAACAGAAACCTCCCCAGACTCCCCGCTGCTGGCAGGGCTGGGCTGAGCAAGCCGAGAGGGACCGTCGCCCGTGGCCAGCGCCACCTCCAGAGTCTGCGGGTTGGGGCTGTCCTGTCAGGCCAGTCATGACAAACAAGTCGGTGGCAATCACGGTAATTATTAAGATCAGATGGTAGCTAACGCTCGTGGACTTGCCGGGGCTCTGTCCGCGCACTGCCTCTCGAACTCTCCGTTGTGGGTGCTCGAGCTGCCCTGTTTTCCCCATGGAGACACACACACAGTGAGGTATCCGTCCCACCTCTTCCACAGCAAGTAAGCCAAGGGGCCAGGTCTGAATCCAGGCAGCCAACCTCAGAGCCCACCCCCTACCGCCGTGCACACTGCCAGCCCCTGTCCCCAGCACCTCAGGCCTCACGATGCCCAGGGTCTCCAGGCAGGGTGTCAGCCTGGGACGTCCTCCTGGGGTCCGGCCCACCTGCCTCTGCTGCACGCACCTGGCCTGGAGCGTGCGCCTTGCTGCACCCTCGCCCTGTGTCCGCCCCAGCGCCCAGCCTGGTCTCCAGCAAAGGCTCCGGCACAGGCCGGGTGTGGAGCAGGGAACGCGTCTCGGACCCTTGCACCCTGGCTACGACCACCAGAAGCTGACGGAGAAGCTCAAGTCCAGAGCCCGCACGTAATGCCAGTACTGAACCGGGATAAACAGGATCTCCCCGGGAGACAGGATGCAGGACAGGAACGGGGCCTCAGCAAACTTGGGGAACTTCTCCAGGTCGGGATTCTCCACGTCAACCTGAAGAAAACCCGAGCCGTCACCTGCCTGGTCTCCAGGGATGGGTGGGAGAATCTGCAGCGCCACGCAGGGTCCCCGAGCACCCACCTGGCTCGTGTTATGAAGAAGGTGCGTCTCGTGCGGATATAAAGCCTCTGACTCCTGCGGGGAATACAGCCGGATGTACTTCCTGCCAATCACCTGGGAAGACAGTGACTCATCACTCAGCTGCTGCCCCCAGCGCCACGGCTGCCCCCCGCGGACTGCAGGTCCCTGAACCCACCAGCGTCCCGCACCTCTCCACGCCTTTCCACGTGCTGTTCCCTGCGCCCAGACTGCCCCATCCCTGCCACGCACGTTCCAGGCCAGGCATAAGTTTAGCCTCCAGATATATTACGCATCAGTAACTAGAGAGGCTAGCCAAGTGGCCCAACGTCACCAGGCTGAATGGTGACAGGGCTGGCGTTCATGCCAAGCAGCGGCTCCAGAGCCCAGCTCTCAGCCCCTCTAGTGCCTCTGCTGGAAGAACGTTCTCATCTGTTAAACCTCTCTGCCTGCAAAAAATAAGGTGGTTTCACAACAGGTGCCCCGCCCCTTGCAATAAGCACACCCGCTCCCCGTCTGGGTCAGGGTCTCAGGACACACCATCCAGTGGCCGGGAAGCCACGCCTCGTCTAGGGAGAGGTGCTGGCAGGGGGAACCTGGCCTGGTTCTGATGGAAGGGGGGCGGCAGGGGGAAGGCAGAGGACATGCAGCGTGAGGGCACTTGCTCCGTCCCGAGACGGCACCCCGGCCCTGCTCTGCCCGAGTGACGCAGCCACCATCCCGGGGGCTGCTGGTCCCGGAACCACAGCTGGAACCAGCCTCTGCCTGAGGGAGGGCCCCATAGGGGCCTGGTACCATCTTTCTGATTTCATTTTTGTCCACACCCCTCTCTCTGGTGTTTAAACCTGGGTAACGTGGCCAGCTGTGCCGGGCCAGGCCGGGGAGGCACAAGGCCGATGCTCTGGACCAACTCCCACCTGGACCAGAAAGTTCTGCTGAGGGTCCTGATGAAGGGGGGACACGGTTCCTTGGGGACCAAACCAGGCATTAATGGTGATCTCTTCCTCCTCCCCGTCGCCCAGGCAGCAGTAGTCCGGGATGCTGATGTCCCGCTTCAGCTCCGGGATCTGTGGGGGCAGAGTACAGGTGGGCGGCCGAGCCTCTGGCCAGGGACGCACCATCCCCGAAGTCAATGGACCATCTCACAGGATGGCCAAACACACACTGCCTTTCTTTTCTTTTTTTTTTTTAAAGATTTTATTTATTTATTTGACAGAGAGAGACACAGCGAGAGAGGGAACACAAGCAGGGGAGTGGGAGAGGGAGAAGCAGGCTTCCCGCTGAGCAGGGAGCCTGATGTGGGGCTCGATCCCAGGACCCCGGGATCATGACCTGAGCCGAAGGCAGACGCTTAACAACTGAGCCACCCAGGCACACACTGCCTTTTTACCTAACAACGCGACTGCGTCTGTGTTTTACTGTGGGGGAATTGAAAAACCAACTGAAGAAATTAATATTTAGGGACACTTGGGTGGCTCAGTTGGTTGAGCGTCCAACTCCTGATTTCGCCCCAGGCTGTGATCTCATGAAATCGGGCCCCATGTTGGCCTCTGTGCTCAGCATGGAGTCTGCTTGTCCCTCTCCCTCTGCCCCTCCCACTATGCAAGCTCTCTCTCTCTCAAGTAAATACATAAATTTTTTTAAAAAAGAAAGAAAAAATAAATATATAATCATTACGAAAGAGTTACATATAATTTTATTTCCAGATTTGTTTCCCTGTCATGTGCATTTTATCTTCGTTTCCTTTTTGAAAACCTGATAGCACTGCTTTGCACTTAAAAATACACCAGCTCGCAATGTTTGTACTACAGAGTGCTACGTTTTTGAAAATCAAATTAAAGAAAAAAACAGAAAGAAAATGGGGTTGGGTATTTATCAAATCTCTAGAAAGGGAGATTCCCCAAAATGGACTAAGGAGAAAGCGGTCACCGTGCATGCATTTTAAATATGTTCACGAATCCAAAGGCCAATAAAGGGAGAAACTTTTGCACTGTGGTACCCGAGGGTTAGTGTGGAGAGCTCGTACCAAATAACAAGGAAACATAGTAAGGATCCCGGTACATAAGCTACATGAATAATCAAAGGGCAAAAACCAGATGCTATGTAGAAATGAGTTCGATACAAGGGAGGTGCTGTTGGCTCCCCGCCCCAGCCGCCGTCCCTGACCCGCCGCCAAGAGGTGCTTTCAGACAGCAAGCATGGTGTCCCCTCTGGAGTTTGCTTCTAGCCCTGCGTCCTCCCCGCTTCCTGGCCGGGCCTTCAGAGGGCCCCGCTGGGGCTGCACCCAGCAGAGGGGCCCCAGCACCCCCACTCAGTGCTGGTGAGGGGTCCGGACACCCCGGGGAGGGGGCCGCGAGCCGGCTCCCCTGGGTGCAGCCCCGGCCGGGCCTTCTGAAGGCCTGTCAGATGCCGGTTCTTTCCCACGGAGGCCAGGTCCCCATGGCCCCACGCAGCCCCAAGCCTCGAAGACTGCCTGCTGCTGGGGCAGGTGGCTCGGCGGCTCAGGGAAATTCCACAGAAACCGACGTCTGGTCCCTAATGGGTGACGGTGGGGAGCACCCCTCAGCTACTTTGCACAGGTATTTGAGAGGGACGTCTCCCTGCTCTGAAGGGGCAGCTGCAGGCAGGCTTTCGCCATCTTTCAGTCATAGCTGCTCCAAGTTCAGGGTGCTGGCCAAGAAGCCACTGATGGATCCTTGGGAATGGCTGGAATGTTCTCCCTGCAGAGACCTCAGGCTGTTCTGTCTCAAACAGCCTGTGCAGAAGTAGAGAAATGCGGCTGTGTCCACCGCACTGGACTAACGTACAAGTTCCTAGTCTGGGGTCCCCTGTCCTGTTGGCCCGTGGGGTGGCCAGTGGGGTGGGGGGTGGCAGGAGATGCCAAAGGCCTCTGGGAACCTCCTGCTTCTCCATCACCACCAGGCTCCGGCACACACAGCTGCTTCCTGCTGGGATGCTCGGAAGTGGATTGGTCCCTGATGATATCATCAGGGTTTCTGGACGGTGACTGGTTGGTCAAATGGTGTAATGAGAGCCACTGGCCACGGATTCAGAGACCCCCCGCCCCCCGCCAAGAGAAGGAATGCTCCCACCATGTGACCGATAATTAAAGGGAGGCCTAGTGTGGTGGCCACAATCTCCCACAACCTGGGGCCCCTGGGAGAAAAGTCAGTAAGAGGTTTTTGGGCAAGAGGTTTCAGGTGGGAGCCACTGAGCTTCGTGGAGACAGAGAAGGCCCCGCAAAGCAGTGCGGGGGCCTGCCAGGTGGCACTCTGGGCAGCAGAGGTGAAAACACACCTATGGGGACCCGAGAGAAAGATCCAGGTGGCCTTCCAAAAGGCAAAATGTCTTCAAGGTCTTGGTTCGTCTTAAAAACAATTGGGCACTTTGCCTTCTGCTTCTAAAACTGCTTCCTCTTGTTCTAGTAAAATCGAAAATGGCTGCCCTAGGACAGGAAGGCGAGTTTACCTGTGGCTTCACAGGGCCCCCGGGAGGTGTGAACAAGGTCAGGGGACAGGCTGGTCACTTGGGATGGCACGGTAGGGGCCTGCTCGCTAGACTCCCCCTTTCCTTCGGAGAGGGCAGGAGCCCAACTGAGATGGGCTAAGGATGGTGCCGGGAACCCCCCTGGAAAACCCACGGTCAAGGACAGCAGTGACCTGCTCTCTCTGAGTCAGGTCCTAATTCGGGAGGCCTGGGAAAGAGCGCAGCCCACCCAGCCCCCACCTGCTCCGACCCCTTTAATTTTGGGTGCGCAGGCTCCTGGGTCCCCTGTCAGGACAGGCAGTGAGAGTAGCCCCAGCCCAGGGGCAGACCCGGCAGACCCGGCAGACCTCGGCTGTGGTCCGGGCCCTGACTGACTCAGATCCAACCCCTTTGGGGCATAAGCCCCCATCCCCACCCAGGCCAGGTGCTGCCCTGCCCGGGCATTCCTGCTGGGCCCCACCACAGTGTCTGTAGCCTGGCCAAGACACCAGCGAAGTCCCTCCTGGATCCCTTGGCTCCACTGCCTGGGCACTCGGGTCTCAAGTCTGGAGTTTTCCTTGACTGCTCCCTTTCCCGTGGCCTCACCCAGCCACCTGTGTGCAGGTGCCAGCAGCTGGCACCAATCTGGAACCCGTCCGCTTCCCCGGGCATCAGCTCCCCCCTGGACTACGGCAGCAGCTTCCTGGGGGTCTCCCCACTGCCCCACCCCCGCACCTTCCATTCCCCTCCGGGACGGGGCCTCGGCCATCTGAGAAGGCCCCCAACCCTCCCACGCGGCCCCAGGCATGGAAAAGACCATCCTTCCTCTTCCAGCCTCACCTGCTGCTTCCCCTCCTCCCCCAAGGCACTCGGCTCCAGCCCCGCTCAAGGGGCAAGTCCGCTCCTGCTGCCCCCTTAGCTGGCATGCCCCCCTCGTCTCCTTTTAGACAAAAGAAGAAAGTTAAGGATTGGCATCAAATACAGCACTTACACTAGACAACTAGCTTAAACCCAGAACGTATACAGAGGACTCCTAACACTCAAAAGACAAACGACCCAATAAAAAACATGGGCAAAACATCCGCCCGTGGCTGGAGGCTGCTCGTCTTCGAGGTCGCCACTCCTGGAGACGCCTTCCCTGCCCCTTGGCTCCCCAGAGCCACCACCACAAGGCTGCCTCTGTTCTTCTCCTGGGGGCGCTCGTCACCAGCTGATGTACTTGGATTTCAGGTCCACTGGGGCGGGAGGGACAGCTCTTCCTTACCCTGTCCCCCCAGGGCCGGGCCCAGAGCAGGGTGCAGAGGGGCTCACGAGGAAGCCCAGGCCCAGGGCAGCATTCCAGCCCCCCGCTCCCAGGACAGAGTGAAGTGAGTGGGGGGACAGGGCAGGGGGGTGGACAGAAGGAAACTGTTCAATGACCTCCCCAGAATAAGCTGTCAGGTTGTTTCAGCCTAACCAGATGGCTCTGAAAACTCGGAAGGCAATCAGGTTCCACTTCACTTTGTTCCCTCGTTGTGTCTACATTTAAAAATAAAGTCTATTTTTCCTCATGATGATGAGCATACGGGCTCGTTCTAGATGCTTTGCAAACTGCAGAGAATAGGAAAAACCGCACACTGTGTGACCACGCACAAGCGCTGTTCATCTTCTGGGGCATCTCCTGTCCTCACCCGAGCAGAGCTCCCTCTATCCACTGCGCATCCTCGCTTTCTCTCTTCCCCGCAGCCAGGCAGCCCCCCGGGTCCCACCAGCGCGTCCTGAGTGAGCCCCCCTGCTCACCGTGTGCTCGGGGCCCCGGGTGACAGGTGCACGGGACACGCGCTGCCGGGGTGGGGGCTGGGAGCCATCCTGCATTTCTGTCAGCTCTGGGAGCGCTGGTGGGGCCACCCTGTCATGCTCCCTTCTTAGGGCTGACCGGTGACGGTGATGGAGAAAGCCGGAGCAGGACTTCTGCCCCGCCCCCACCCTGGGCTCTTCTGATGGATCTCCCCGGAATACCTCCTCTTACCGGGACCCTACTGCTCAGAAACCTCCCAGGGCTCCCCGCTGCCTTGCAGATAAATCCAAGTTCTCGGTCTGACCTTCAAGGCTTGCCCAGCTGGGGCCCAGCCTCCCTCTTTGCCTTCTCGCTCTGCTCTTCTGAATGCACCCTCTCAGGCAGGTGGACGCACCCAGCACAGGGGGCCTGCTCCAGAGTGCGCCCCTGAGCCTTGGTGCATGAGGCGCCTCTCCCTGCAATGTCCTCCTGCCTCCGGCCTGGCTGGGCGCCGCTCCTCCTCTCAGTCCCAGCCCGAGACCCCCTCCGCCTTCAGCCTTCAAGCAGTCTGTCCTGAGGGTCTTCAGTCTGGCCAACCAGGGCTGGGGACCCAGAGGAACTGAACCCGACCCCTGCCAGGAGTGCACATGCCCAGCCGGGGGGAGATGGCCTCGTGAGCTGACAACTGAGATGGACTAAGGACGGTGCCGGGAACACCCCCAGAAAATCCACGGTCAAGGACAGCAGTGACCTGCTCTTTCCGGGTTGGGTCAGAGCCTGCCGCCCTCACTCGGCTCCCCAGGACCCATTCCTCCATGTCCGACCACACCTGCTCCCACTTCGCTGGGGCCACCTCCCTCTGATGCCGTGGCCTCCTCACCCCCCACCCCAGGCTTGGGGCCCTGGGGTCGGCACGCCCAGTCTCCTGCTTGCCACCTGCTGCCCTCTGGTGAGGGGGACACGGGTGCCACCCCCGTGGGTGGCCCAAGAGGCTGCTAGAGCCTTTCCGGTCCTCTGGGGCTCACAGCCCATGAGGGGAGGTGGGAGAAGGTGGCAGGGTCAAGGACAGAGGAGCGTGGTCTCAGACTTACCTGGTCAAAGAGCTGGTGCTGCGCAAGGTACCCGACGTCCCTTGACTAATCCGCGGAAGGAAAACCGGAAGCGACACAGAAAAAGGCTGGTTAGCTGTAAGGAGCACCCTCCGGGCGCTGTTCCGCTCGCTCTCAGCACTGGGTGTGCCCCAGCCACGGGCAGCCAGCTGGCAAGAGCCGTGCACTGCGTCCCGTCCCCCTTGGGCCCCTCTGTGCCCCAGGGGCAAACATCAGCGATGCTCTCCCTCTTGCGGGCAGCGCTGGGCCCCGGGGAGACTCGGGATCTGGGGCCGCCTCTGTAGGGATGCCCCAGGCTCAGTTTCCCCCCATGAAAATGAAGAGGCTGTACACCCATGAGGATTTCTTTTATAAATAAAAATAGAATCATATCATGTGTATTACTTGGAAATCTGTTTCATTTAATGACAACCTCACGAGTATCTCCTCAGGTGAGTACGTACAGATCTGCCTCATTTTTTTTTTTTGACGGATACATGTTTTATAGGCAGGGTACCCCATGAATTCAATCACCCCCTGCTGGTGGACAGTCAGGTTATTTAGCCAGTGTTTCCATAAACAGCCTAATATTCTGGTCCTTATATTTATGTCCTCCCAAAAATAGAACAACTGAGTCAAGGAGTGTCTGCATTTTAAATTCTAGTAGCTTCTGCCAGCTTATTTTCCCAAAATTAACCACGTACTGACTTTCCAGCACAACTGTGAGCACCCATTTCCTACATCCCAGCTGCATTCCCCAGAGATGATCATTTTGTGAACATCTCTGCCATCAGACGGATGGAAAGATCGGTGCCTTACAAACTGGGCTCCACAAGGCTCCAGGCCTTCTTGGGAGGTGGCGCAGGCTCTGGAAGGGCCACTGGGGGTGGAGCACGCAGGAGGCTGGCCACCAGTCCCCCCAACCATAGCCACAGCCCAGCCGGCCTGGGTCTCCTGGGCTCTGCTGATGAACTCATTGACCGTCATGAGCGTCTGCGACCAGTCCTCGTCCGTGTACCTGGAACCGACTTCCGCTGGGACAGTTCGGCAGCCGGCAATGTCTTGGATATACTCCAAACTAGTATGTTGAAGGAGATGGAGGCTTCTCTCTAGAATCCCTCAAGACTTTCTCTGCTTCCAGCCCTCTCCCTCACTCCCTTCTCTTCTTGATGACTTGAAAAGTCACAACAAGCCAGACCTGGGGTTCTGCGGCGGGCAGGGCCGGATCTGTGTGATCTCTGCTGTCACGGGGATTCTGGCCCAAAGACGCTAACTCAGGTTAGCCAGGCGCTGACCATGCTGCGCTCAGAGCTTTCCGTGGTTTACTCTTCCGTGTTTCAAACTATCAGCCAGCATGGTCACCCCCCGGGGCCCTTGGACTACAGCAGACCCAGATGAAACCGGATCAGAACTTTCCAGGGGCTGGGCCTGGGGCTGCCTTGGGTGTGAGTTGCTAGAAAGTGTGTGGAACAACTGCAGACCATGGATTTGAAATTCCCCGACCCCCCTCGGGAAGGGCTCTGCTCTCCGGGCCAGGAAGACGGCCGGGACTGCGGAGGCTGGGTGGACGTCCCCTCCCCGTAAGGGTCCATGCGTCGCGTGCGGGCTTCCCTTCTGAGCCCAGAGGAACGGTTCAGGCCTCAGGAAGGGGAAGCCACCCCCGGCCTTTACTGTGAATAATCTGATGTGAGAACACAGCACAGCTGCTTTTGGAAACCATCTGGCAGTTCCTCAAAATGGTCAAACATTTTGTGACCTGGCGATTCCGCATCTAGTATATACCCGAGAGGAATGAAAACAGACATCCACACAGAGAAACTTGGATGGGAACATTCCCAGTGGCGCTTCTCACACCAGCCAGTGTAGACCACCTGACCAGCCATCAGCTGACAATAAACAAAGTGCGGAGTGTCTACACCCCGGGGTATTACCCAGCCACAGCAGAGAACCCCGAGAGTGCAGTGCCGACAGCAGCCGGACACAGAAGGCCACAGACTGTCCAATTCCGTTTCTATACCAAGTCCAGTATTGGGAAATCCATGGAAACATAAAGCAGATTAGGGGTTGTCTGTAGCAGAAGAGGAAGTGACTGCTCATGGTTATGGCATTTCTTGGGCAGTGATGAGAATGTTCTGGAATTAGATAGTGGGGATGGGTGCAAAACCTTAGAAAGACACCAAAAAACAAACCAACCAACCACTGAACTGTACCAAAAAAAAAAAAAAAAAAGACCTGAAATGAGTCAGCGTTCTGCGTGCCTTGCAGCTGGCCTTCCTCACTTTGGCCCCCCACCAGCCCCTCCAGACCCTCGTCCTACAGCGCCCAGATGTCCCGCAAGCTCCCACCGTAAACGCTGCAGGGGAGGAGGCACGACGACATACCTCACTCCTGACGTATCTGCTGATGAACTCATTGACCGTCATGAGCGTCTGCGACCAGTCCTCGTCCGTGTACCTGGAACCGACTTCCACCGGGACAGTTCGGCAGCCGGCAATGTCTTGGATGTACTCCAAACTAGGAGAGAGATGTGTACGGTCACCACTGTCGCTTTGGCTAAGACCTGCTGGGCACTCGGCCATGCTGGTCTCCTCTGGTCTCCACACAGCCCCAAGGGGAGAGACTACTGTTACTCCCTCTTCACCGGCGGGGGGCACTCAGGCACCGACACGTGGGGTGACATGCCCACGGCGCCACATGGCTTTGCAGAGAGATCCAGTGAGGCTGGTTTGCCAAGCTTCTCGCTGGGCGGTTCTATCGCCGGGCTGGCCGAAAGCCTCCCAGTTCTCTCTCTGCTCACCTTGTATCTGAGCTCAGAGGGCTCTGAGCAAACAGCAGACAGCACAGCAGGGCCGCTGGCTTCTGAGCTTGGGCAGCCTGCCCTGCCCGTGGCCGGCCGGGGACCTCTGCCCACTGGTAAGCTGCGTGATGACGGTACCTGTCCCACGGGATGGGAACTGGGAGGACAGAGAAAGAAAACACGGCACGAGCCGATCGTGGCGGCTGGCCCGTAGTAAGACCCGTAACGAACGTTTGTGGGACGATGGCCCCTGCGGCCGGTACTCTTCACACGGCCTTGGCGGGAACTACTCCGTCCACGACCCACGGGAGACAGGGGAGCCAATCTGTCGTCCTCAGAGACCCCTGCTCCTTTCTGCAGCCTCGGCATGCCAGCCACCGCCCAGCGGCCCGACCTGCTATCACCACCATGAATCTGAGCAGATGGGAGGAGGGAGCAAGCCCAGGAGCCCTGCCTGCAGGGGAGGGGCCGTGTCTCGGGTTCTTACTTCTGCTCTTAGGCCTCAGGGCCCCTGGGAAGGTCCAGGGAACACCTCAGATCATGCAAAATGGCTTTAACAGACTTCACGCCGCACTAGAACCTGCTCAGAGCAGTGAGCTGTGGAAGTATGGGCCTTTCCATCTCTGCCACGAACTTGGAGCACTGTGCCTGTAATCCGCGGTTAACCCCTAGTGATCTACGCAGGGACGGTCGGGACGTGCATGTGAGGCCGCATTTCCTTGGGATGAAGGGAGATGGAACTGGGGAGTCCCCGGGTGGGGGTGGGGGGCTGGATCGGGCAGAGCCACCCACCTCCACTTCGTCATGCACGGCCACTGGTCCGCCACGCCTTCCAGGATCACAGGCCTCCCGGGAACCAGAAACTGCTTCCTGAAATGCTGGAGGGACGGACAGTGAAGCCGGGGGACCAGTCTCTCCGATGCCACATCCGGGACCGAAACACAGTCGTCCCTCGCTTTCTGTTTAAAATCAAAGTGCCGAGAGGTTACCATCTGAGGCACTGGGCTGGGCGTCTGTGTCCCCGCAGGCTAGCTTACTCCGTTACTGATGACAGCGCCATACGTGTTAGCACTGTCCCGGCATCCCCCTCCTCCTTTTCATTCTGGACACACCCAGACTTTTTTCTTTACCAGTTCAAGGGTCTGTTCGATTTTAAAAGGAACATACAGAAACTCCACAAGAGAAGAAAAGTCACCACCCCAAACGCCATCTGGTGTCAAAGGACCCTGTCCCGTGACCACGTGTTCCTGGCCCAGCTTCTGATGCCCGGCAGGGACGTGTGGGACGGGCAGCCCAGCTAAAGCAGGTCACAGCCCTGGCAAGGTCGTGGGAGCCCCTGCGCCAGAACTTCCTCAACCACCTGTCAGCCAAGTGACCTGAGCCAGTCACTCCCTCGGGACTCAGTTTCCTCACCTGTCACGTTATTGGGAGAGGAGACCTCCCACGTAGAGTGCCCAGGATCACCGGTGGGTGGGGGGTCCGCTCCCTCTGTCCCCGCGAGCCGGGCACGAGGCCTCCCACTTGCCTGTTCTCGGCCTATATACCCTCTGCTTTGGTTGTCACACCTGCCCTCATCAAAGAGGCCTCCCTGACCACCCTATGTGAGCGAAGCTGCCTCCCCACCTTTCTCACTGTGCGAAAGAAGACGTACTTCTACAGCCTCCTAGAACCCAGGCTCCAGGAGAACGGGCCCTTCTGTATCGTACCCTCAGCGCCTGGCACATCTGGACCACCACCTGGGCTCTAGAGAGCCGCCGAGCAAACCCCCCTTATAGGCACGGGAATGGGGACACTGAGGGGCCCAGACCCTTGGCCGACTCCGGCAGGCCGACTCCAGAGCATGAGCTCTCCCCCCTCAGCTACACACACTGCCCAACGCCGCCCACGCCGGGAGCACCACCTTGGGTGCGGGGCCACCTCCATGTTCCCCTGGGACAGACTTGGCGTGGGAAAGAGAAGTGCAACCCCTGGGTCCAAGGGCACAGGCATGTCTGCCCTGCCCCGTGAAAGGTCAACCAACACGCCATGCCTGTGGCCCCCTGGCGTCCTCGGCAGCACCGGGTATCACAGGAAACCTCCTTTGAGGATTTCACGGCCAACAATGGCTGCCTCCCCGTTCTTGCCTTTTTTTTTTTTTTTTTAAACCACAGGTGAGATGGAACATTTTCCCACATGCCTGTGTCACAGACCTATTTCCTCCTGGCGACCAGACATGCTCAGAGGTATCGTGGCTGAGGGCTGCACGCCAGCACTGGGGCCTGACACCCTGTCTGCCGCCGCCCTCAGCTCTGCGCAGTGTGCTTCGCACCCCCAAGTACCAGGAACCCCCCCATGCCAGGACCTCAAGGGCGGGACCAACCAGCCATGGGACCAGGAGGCTGCTGGAGGTAGCAGCTCGTCCCAACTCCACAGCCCCGAGAGCGAGGCAGCCGGGAAAGTGGGTGACGCTTCAGCAAGCTGACCAAGAACAGGCCGGAAGGTGCAGGCTACAGCTGCCCACAGCTCTGGCCCACACGAGCCCTTTGAGCTGCCGCTCTCGGCGGCCACAGAGCCTCCACCCTCCCTCTCTCCTGAAAGGGCACTGCTTTTGCAGAAAGTGGGGGGAAAAACTGAGAAAACAGACTAGGCCGTTCCACTTCTAAATCCACCAAGATGCTATTTTCTGCCAGAGGTCAGCACGCTGTGAGGCCTCAACCCTGGGGACAGCTGACTCCTCCCTTTAGAAAAAACAGGGCTGTGGGGGGCATGTGAGGTGTGGCAGGCAACAATCCCACCTAGATACCTTCATGCTGGGCTGCTCCTGGGCCAGGCCTGGGCCGGGCCTCTTTGCTGAGGGGAGGTGAGCCTGGAGGACAGCGGCGACTTTAATGAGGATGTCCCCATGGATGGCCGCCCCCATCAGCAGGCCCATGTCACAGGCCTTCAGGGCCGCGGCCACTGTGGGGGAATCCCCAGGCTCCTCGAACAGACACACTGCCTTCAGGAGGCAGCCGAAGGCGTAGACGCGGCGCCAGTCCTTGTGGACATCCTGCCACGGGCCCGTGTTGAGTTTCTCCCAGGAGTAGTCCAGGATGGCCTCGCTGGCCTGCAGACACTCGCTCCAGCAGCCCCCGCAGAACAGCTCGGCGGCCTCCCGCAGCAGCCGCACCATGCTGTGCTCTACCTTCTCCCCGAGCTCCGGCACCAGCTCCTCCTTCCTGTGGGGCAGGAGCGCCCGGAGGGCCTCTCGGAGGGTGCTGGCTCCTGCCAGGGGCTCTCGGTTGTCTTCGGCCATCGGGCCCTCTGCCAGCCTAGCCTGATAAAGGTGGTGGGGAAAGAAAGAACAGTTAGAGCAAAACACCGTATTGCACACCTAAATACGCACATTTGTAGATTTTCATAAAATCAAACTGGGGCCAGCGGGGAGCTAGATCTGTGATGACATCCAGTGGCCAAAATGTCAACCACTGAGAGTTTAAAAAATATATATTAAAACGCAACCTATGGAACGGGAGCAGATATTTGCAAATGACATATCCAAAAAGGGTTAGGATCCAAAATCCATAAAGAACCGACACAACTCAACACTCAAAAAACAAATAACCCAATTCAAAATTGGGCAGAAGACATGAACAGTCATTTCTCCAAAAGAAGACAGCCGGATGGCCAGCAGACACATGAAAAGATGCTCAATATCCCTCATCATCAGGGAAATGCAAATCAAAACTACAATGAGATTTCACCTCAACCTGTCAGAATGGTTAAGATCAACAACACAAGAAACAACAAGTGTGGGTGAGGATGCGGAGAAAGGGGAACCCTCGTCCATTTCCATGTTGGTGGGAATGCAAACTGGTACAGCCACCCTGGAAAAGAGTATGGAGGTTCCTCAAAAAATTAAAAATAGAACTACCCTACAACCTAGTAATCATACTCCTGGGTATCTACCCCCAAAATACAAAAACACTAAAGGAATACATGCATCCCTGTTTATTGCAGCATTATTTACAATAGGGGACCTATGGAAGCAGCTCACGTGTCCATCGATTGATGAATGGATAAAGATGTGATATGATGTGGTGTGTGTGTGTGTGTGTGTGTGTGTGTGTGTGAGAGAGAGAGACAGAATATTACTCAACCATAAAAAATGAAATCTTGCCATTTGCAATGATGTGGATGGAGCTAGAGAGTATAATGCTAAGTGAAATAAGTCAGAGAAAGACAATTATCATATGATCTCACTCATGTGATATTTAAGAAACAAAGCAAATGAGCAAAGGGAGAGAAAGAGAGAGAAACCAAGGAGCAGACTCTTAACTAAAAAGAACAAACTGATGGTTAGCAGAGGGGAGTGGAGGGAGGGATGGGTGAAATAGGTGATGCGGATTAAGGAGTGCACTTATCATTATGAAAAAAATAAAATAATTAAAAAATTAAAAAGTGATAAAATATAAAAGTAAAAACTATATAAAGTTATTTTCCAGACAGACCACACAGACTTCCTCCCTTCCAGGTTCCCAGTTTCTCACATGTGTCCTTTCTTTCTTTTTTTTTTTTTT